CTACCGTTTACACCCCCCACCACCGACTGTGAGGTAAGGGTTGGACTTTGGCTTACGGTCAAATCACGCTGAAACACCGGTTCTCGTTCGATCACCGAAGTTAAGCATCGTAGAGCCAGGTCAGTACTTAGATGGGGGACCGCTTGGGAACACCTGGTACTGTAAGCCCCCAAAGTCCAAAGTAACCTTCTATAGGTTACAACAACTTGTTAAGGTTAGATAAGGCTAAATAAAACATCTTGATTTGTCTTCAAAGTCGCCTTGGTTGCCTTATCCTAGAAATTAAAAAAATGGAATCTCAACCGTTTTGTTCGTGTGCTACTCCCGCTCATGAACAGTGATGCGCAGTGTAGAATGGGGTATTTACTCTAACACATTTTAATTCACTAAGACAGAACATATACATGTTAACACCCTCAATCAAGATCAGAAGCCACGATAACCATACTTGCTGTAACGTGAAATTAGTTCTCAATAGGGCTGCTAGTGTAGTTTCATTAAGGTAGGATTGAACTCATGTCACTAACCACTGTTATACGGCTGACGCCCCTTGTTTTTATAGACGTGAATATTTACAAATTTAAGTATGGATACATTAGTCATATCTGATAAAGATAATACGAAGAAATTTTGGGCGCGAGTAACGAGTAAACAATCTCTGAAATAAATCTTTTCGTAAGTATTATTCGTATATAGAAATTGATTGAAAAATCAAATTAATAATGTGTAAATATATTTTACCGTCTTTATATTTGAAAGTTCATCATAAATTATACAATCGGTGTTTATGTTGTGATTGCTTTAAGACAATAAACAAGTCGACGATTATTGATTTGCTATACAGACGATATATTAAAATAAATTTATTAATAGTGAACTGAAGTATAGATACTGTGGATTAAAAAAAGAAAATATGCTTTACTAAAGGATCATTTAAAAAACAAAATTATCTGTACTTAAATCAGATTTCTGATTTCTGTAACTTTTCAATGTTGAATCCTATTTCATTATTTTTCCAAGTTTTGTGTGTGTTCCATTAATACTAATTTTTAAAAGTACTGTCAATTTTGAACATGTCTGTGTCAAAATAGACCTTGTAATAATAATAATAATAGATAATAATACAAATAATAATAATAATAGATTTCATTATTAACATAAAACTGCCCATCTCTTTTTTGCGTAAATGATATTCACGTGATGTACATTTCGATGTGGATAAAAATATGAGTTCCTACTACGCTACCTTGAAGCACATCACGACTAAAAATGCTCACAAGATTATAAACAATAATCTAAATCTAATAAACTTTATTCAAATTCCAAAACTTAGAACCGAAGAAAATATAGAAAAATGATAATAAATAATAATAAATAATAATAATAATAACAATAATAAATAATAATAAGTATAATACAAAAAATATAATAATACATAAGTAAATAAATAAATAAATAAATAAATAAAATAAACAAACACAAGGTAAGAATGATAAACAAGCTAGAATATTAGAACTAAACAAAAACTGACAAAATCCAGTTTCCCTGACGTTACTATATATATATATATATATATATATATATATATATATATATATATATATATATATATATATATATATATGTTAAAAATTTGCTCTATCTATTTATAGTGAAATATTGAGATAGAACATTTATAGACATAGATAGTGTGGACATAGAAATCAATACTGCATAGTAACTATCACACACACATACACAGATATATATATATATATATATATATATATATATATATATATATGTATGTATGTATGTATATATATATGCATATATATATATATTCTGTCGGATCTATATCCATTTACATTTGCTTATCCTGCTCTCACCCCTCACACCGTGGAAACCTTCAAATGTAGCCGTCTCTTCTACTCCAATAGCTTTCATACCTCGCACCTCTCGCCAGTGGAACACCCTCCCCAATTACTGTTTCCTGAAAGCTATAATCTCCAACTATTCAAATGTAATGTCAATCGACATCTCCAATTACCTTGATCTACCCACTATCCTTCTCCTCTTCCTTTCTTCTATCACTCTTATCTGCTCTCGCTCCAAATCTTCCGCAACCCCCTGCATCCTAGTGGTTTCACGCCTTGCTTGGGGCACAATGCTTAAAATATATATATATATATGCGTGTTAGTGGGATACAAAATCGGAAGAAAAGTGGAGAAATGAGACAAAATAAAAAAGCTTTTTAATGACAACGCGCTTCACCCTCGTGTGTTGGGTTGGCGTCTTCAAGTCAGAATAAAAGTCAAAACTCAGGGTCTGGAAAATGTGATACTCACAGGACAGACTGAATGCAATTAGAGACAAAGGAAATCAATGAATAACCTACCTAGCGAGTTTTTGTAAATGGATGACAAAACAGAGGTTAGGAGAAATAAACAAAAGTCAAAATTTATTAAGAGTTACGAAGGAGAGGAAATTGTGGAGAACCCTGAATGTCAACGTCCTGAATGGACACAACACATACACAGAAGGGCGTTCCACTAGCGAGAAGCATTTAAATTTTTGCAGATAAGGCTGGGATGCATGGATCCGGAAGGGAGTTCCACAAGCGAGAAGTGCGAGAAAAGAAACTATTAGCATAGAATTTACGGTTACATTTAGCTAGTTCAACTGTAAATTGGTGGGACGTTGTTGCCAGAATAGAACTGCACTTAAATTCAAAGAGCCTAGGTACCATAGCGAAGAGGTCATCCGAACAATTACCAAGAACGTATTTATAAAAAAGGCACAGGGAGGCAAACTTACGATGGTAGGAAAGAGACTGAAGTCGAGACACCAGAAAAGGGCCAATAATACTGTAGATTCTTCTTTGTATTTTATTCGTCTTTGGATCTTATCAAGAAGCTCTAGATAAATAGCAGAAGCACCGGACCATATGTGGCAGCAATATTCTAATCATGGACAAATAGTAGTCTTATAGATATGCAAGATAGATTCTGGAGAGAAAAATTGTCTAGCACGACACATTGAACCAAATTTCTTAGCAGCTGACCTGCGTTCAATATAGTCTATCTACTTCATGTCAGCCGGTAATGTTAACCCGAGGAGGCGTAACGAGTCACTCTCCTGGAGGTCAGCATCAGCTATGCTGATGGAAAGTAGAAAGTGATCTCTTAGGTGATTAATAGGGAGCAGTTTAGTTTTGGAGACATTAAACTTACCAAGCCATCCTTTGCCCCAGTTAACAACAGACTGAAGGTTGCTTTGGATATCAGCTACTATACTAACCTTATCAAACTGATCGGACTTACTATCGAGACAGGAGTAAATGGTTGTGTCATCAGCGTAGATACCATGTCGAGAGGTGATACCATCTGGAAGGTCATTAATGAAAATTAAAAAACAAAGTAGGGCCAAGTATAGAAACCTGGTAGGAGGTACGTGAATTCGTACGAAATGAGCGGGAAAAGCGGACGTTCAGGATTATTTTCATTTTACGATTTTGACAGGAAAAAACTGGATCAGTTCAAAAATTTGTCCAGAGACACGGTAAATTTTCAGTTTGTGGAGAAGTGTATGCCAAACCCTGTCAAAGGGTTTCGAGTTGTACAAAGCTACAACCCGGGCTTCAACATTCTTATCTAGAGCTAGATAGGCTCTTTTCACAATTATCGTCACTGACCTGGAGATAATGAAAGCCAAATCGCTCGTCTGCGATGTGAGATGCTTAACCAATTCAGTATTGATTAGAGCCTATAGGAGTTTCCCCAAAAAAGAGATAGAAGGCTAATAGGTCGATAGTTGGAAGGGTCGGACGGTTCACCAGTGTTCTTAAAAACTGGAATAACAGATGATGACTTCCGGCAAGTAGGAAAGCAAAAGGCGGCGAGGCACTTGTATACAGTTTAGAGAGAACAGGAGCCAGTTCAGGAGCATATATCTTAATGACTATTACAGGGATAGCAGCAGATCCACATGTTTTGTGGGGACCCAGGTTAGAGATCTTAGCAGAAAGAATAGAAAGGTTTATATGCAATCATTGCAAAAACATTGTGGTATACTAATAACGAGAGATTTTGTTGTCAAAATATTTTGGTACGACAGTCCGCGTATATTGCAGATTTATACTTTTCTCAACTTTCTTGGCATTAAGTGAATATAAACAGCCCCAAATAAAATTTGATTTTACCGTACCGATAACCATCAATCCTACCGTTTATATTATTAAATATCAGTAATTTTTTTTTTAATCAATTCACCTCAAGCAAGGCGAGAACGTCACTCAGACGCAAGTGGCTACTGGGAGTGAAAATGAATGAAAAGACTTTAGAATTGCTCGGAAATCCAACCCTGAACAGGAAACAAGGGATGAACCTCTACTCCTGTTCAAAAGACCAGGGAGGAGTGTGAACCGGGTTATTTTTAAACAACATATTGATCGTCCTTACGGTTGAAAAGTAGATATTTCGCTGGAAAATTTTACACAGTACCTAATATTTCTCGAACACCCTTCACGGCGACAACGTAGCAATAAGAGATGACAAACCAGTTCGTAGCAAGGGCTTCGACATGTAATAATGAAAGAATATTGTAAGTTAACCTGCTGTAAGGTGATGGGCTTCATCTGCTGAAGACGTTGAGCAGCATTTCATTAATGACTACCCATTTTCTTATATCTCTATCGTTTATTGGTAATAACTTGAAATTATTTTCTGTTTCTCTCCCAGTCATTCTAAATTGTTCCAGATTTCGGGCAAATTTCGTTAAACTATTACAAATAGGTTAACGTTATCTTCGTGGACATTGCAGCTAACTTCACATCAACTTGGTAATTACCTCCTGTCAAGGTTCGCAATGAATGTAAGAGCTTAAGAGTCATTGCTTTTGTGGAATGGCTGTGTTGTTTAGTAATAGTAACTAAAACAGCACCAACACTTTTGATTTCTATCTATCTATCTATCTATCTATCTATCTATCTATCTATCTACCTAATTTCTTTATAATTTAGTCTATCAATCTATCTAATTTTCCTATCCATTTATCTAATTTTTTTCTTTCTAATTTCTTTTTCCTTTTCTTTCTTTCTTTCTTTCTTTCTTTCTTTCTTTCTTTCTTTATAATCTTTCTTTCTATCTATGAAATTTATAATCTATCTAATTTCTTTTTCTCTTTCCTTCTTTCTTTTCTCTTCCTTCCTTCCTTCCTTCCTTCCTTCCTTTTCCTATATATTTTTCTAATTTCTTTCTTTCTTTCTTTCTTTCTTTCTTTCTTTCTTTCTAATCTATCTATCTATCTATCTATCTATCTATCTATCTATCTATCTATCAAATTTCTTTCTTTCTTTCTTTTTTTTATTCTTTCTATGAAATTTCTTTATAATCTAATGTCTTTTTTCTTTCTCTCTTTCTCTCTTTCTTTCTTTCTTTCTTTCTTTCTTTCTTTCTTTCTTTCTTTCTTTCTTTCTCCTGATGCAAGCACTCACATATACTCATTATTGTCTGAGCTCCTCTCCGCGGATTATTAAATGAAACATTTTGCACATCAAACACACAAGCTGGCGTCTGACTCTATCGACTCTCACTGATTAGTACAATGTGGAAGGTACGCCGATGGGATTAGATTCACCGGAACTAAACTCCTCTCAATGTCAAGCCACCAACTGTTCGAAAGAAGAAACACGCCAGAGAAGAGATACGACATCTGATTCCAATCTGATTGCATGAGAGAAAATATTCTCGGTATTCCATGAATTATTCCGATAGTTCTTTTTTAAAATCATTTCACCCCAAGCAAGGCTATAAAGGCACTAAGATACAAAGAGTTACAGAGTTTAAAAGAATATGAGAAATGCACGATTAAGGAGAGAAAATTTGAAACACAAGAATCAAGAAGACAGTATGTAACGATTGGCATTGCATTTAAATTTTAAAGATCAAAGTTAACTAGGAAGCAAGAAGCTGGAAACAGTTCTACAAGTGAGAAGTGCGAGAAAAGAAACTGTTAGCATAGAACTTATGGTTACATCTAGTAAATCCAACTGCAAAATGATGAGACCTATCCGCCAATCTAGTACTACGCTTAAATTCATAAAGTCTAGGGATAATAGAGGAAAGTTCATTAGAACAATTACCATAAAATATTATTAGAAAAGACAGGTGGAGAAAGTGGGTGAATGCGAGAAGGAATAATATATCATATAAGTTTAAACATAATATCTGGAAGAATAATATATGATTATCAATAATGTAGTTGGAAGAATTATTATCAACTAATGTAACTGTAAGTTCTATTCTAATAGTGTCTTCTCTCGCAATTCTTTTGTGGAATTCCCTTCGTATTTTTTGCTTCCCTGCCAAAAAATTTAAATGCAACGCCAATCCCCATATCCTGTCCTTTTGAATCCTGTTCTTTTATTGTCCTTCCTCCTCATTAAAGTTCATTCTCTTTCACTCCAAGTAAACCCTTAGTCGCACTATCGCCATTTTTGTCTTCCTGAAACCTATTTTTTACTGGCCTTTCTCCTCACTAAAGTTTTCTCATTCTCTTTCACTGCCAGTAACCCCTTGCGTCTTAGTGGCATTATCGCCATCTTCTGTCTTCCTGAAACCTTTTCCTTTATTGTCCTTTCTCCTCACGAAAGTCTTTTCATTCTCCTCCACTCCCAGTAAGCCTTTGCGTCTTAGTGGCTTTATCGCCATCTTCTGTCTTCCTGAAGCCTCTTCCTTTATTGTCCATTCATATCTGGTCATGGCGAAATCGAGCGATTCTTTGTGGCTCGATCGGTTAAGAGCACGTCAGGCTAAATGACTGTTCCGTATAGGATACAGGTTCGAATCCTGTCGGGGAACGAATATTTTCTATGAATATTTCTCGGACATTCAGGCTGGTAAATGTTGTTTAATACTGTTTATTATAAACAGAGCATTTACTTAAATATTTGTATCTATAAAAAGAATGTATAAACATAAAATGTCTTATATATATATATATATATATATATATATATATATATATATATATAATAAAACAGAGCATTTACTTCAATGTTTGTGTATATATAAATAACGTATAACAATAAAATATATTCAAATAATTATTGGCCTTTTGTTTACGTTAAGATACGCTTCGAGCAGATATGGACGTTCGATGGAAATCTTGGGAAGTTTGTAGTTTAAAAAAAGTAAAATCGACCTTACTAACTAGACACTCTTTCGTAGCTAAACAGGTATAGCACGTCAGTCTATTTGACGGTTCCGTGTAGAAAACAGGTTCGATTCCTGTCGGAGTACACATATATTCTTTGGAATTTCCCAGACGCTCAGGCCAGTAATAAATTGACGTGTTTTAATAGCATATTCATTATTGAAATCAAAATTTCCATAGTAACGGCCAGAGCGATTGTTTAAATGGGAAGCTTACTTTAATTCAATTTAATTCAAATGATTATATTGAAGTTTTCGGCTCTTGTTTTGAAACATGAGACCTCTTTATTTTAAATAAATAATTATATATATATACATATACATACATACATATATATATATATATATATATATATATATATATATATATATATATATATATATATATCTGTGTGTGTGTGTGTGTGTGCAATTTTTTCAGCATATGTTATTAAATGTGTTCAGCTGTGAATTCTTCAGTTCATCTTGTATTCCCAGACCAACACAAATCATTAAGTTTAAACATTTAGAACTTATATGAAAAAGCAGACACGAAAACAAATTTCTACCACGCTACTGAAAAATAGACAACTGAAAATGAATACCTTGTAAAATACCATCATGAAAAAAACAAAAAAAACCCAAATATATGCCCTAAATACGACGCAGAAAATGTCACACATTAAAGACAAAGCAAATAATATAAACGAAAATAAAAAAAAACGTCCCAAGAAAAAAATGGAAATAAAAAATAAATAAAATAAATAAAAATAATAATAAATAAGCAATTAATAATAAAATTAACAAACTAAGACTGCACACATAAACACAAGTAAATGCAATAATAATAATAACTAATCGTGATTAGAGATAATAAAGATAAAAAGTGCCTCTTAGTGATATTGCAGCTCCTGCAGACGACAATGTATCTTTAGAGATCTACAAAAATCCATCAAAATACAGGGACTGTCTGAGATGAGGTATTATGTACACTATTTACATTATTCGGATTATTGTACTCATCTTTGCCGCCATATTTATTACTACATTTCGGCCTTTGTACGCACCGGCCCTTTTCAGGTGGTTGGAGTGTCGAAATGAACCCTTTATTTCGCTCAAGGACACGTGGTAGAGCGGATAAAGGCGTTGGTTAGATCCAGTGACAGGACCCAACGAGTGTGAGTTCAATACCCAGTTAATCAGTGGATAACTTGTAAAAGAGAATTAACACGAGATAACTGAATAATGTAAATAGTGTAAAATACAGGGATCTTGAAATCGTGACACATGAGAACATGAACAATTCCAGTCGTAGTTAGAGCCCTAGGATTGATTGGAAAATATTTCAATAAACTCGTTGAAAAGATTCCTGGTAGGCCATGCCTTAAAGAAATATTAAAAAATTGTTCTAACGAGAACAGCCCACAGCTTACGAAGGACTTTATCTATCTAAAATATGTGATTACTTTTTTCAAAATTGCTCAGTTGAAAATGTCATGATGCCTTTTGTGAGCTTAGGTTTCTGGTCGGGACCCGGAAAGAAATGAGTACACGCCAGAAATCAAAAGAAATAAAATAATAATAATCCACAATAAATTATTAATTAATCAATAATAAATAATAAGTAAAAAGTGAACAAACAACACTATAAAATAGCCATAAATAACCGCCTTCAGATCCACAATTATTCCTACTCTAGAATAATTGGAAACATGACCCTTATCGCCTAACACATGCATCTTCGTATTAGCAGGGGAACATCCTCTAGCAGGTCTGGAAGTGTGTTCGAAATAATGTCTTTGCAGACAGATCCTGTAGGACGTTCTGGGGGAACATATAGACCTACTAGACAGTCACCTACAATTCCAGCCCACACATAAATCGTAAACTGATGCTGGTGTCTAGACTGTACCATAGGGATTCCGATCCACCCGCAAATGCTGGTTGTGTAAATGTGTTATTCCATCTCTTCCAAATGTTGCCTTATCCGTAAACAAGGCTGAAGAGATAACGGATCGGCAGTTTAGGCAATAAACCATCGGCAAAAGTTTCTCCAGTGGTGAGTGATCAGAGAGCGAAAGACCATGCACATGTTGCAAATGATACGGACACAGGACCTGGTCTTGAAATACCCTCCATACGGTACTATGAGATATACCACATGCTAGGACCACTTGACGTGTCCCCGAAAGCCTGTAGAATGTGTTTTTTGTGGTCAAGCAGATCTCGGTCTTACACGATCCTGTCTCAGGAAGGCAGCGATAAACAGCAGGAAAGGTTGGATGACTCGGCTGCTTTCGGTCTTCAAACGCAATTTGATACAGCCGTGCAACCTTGCGTCCATTATCATTTGCGCGGCCGTATGTAAAACTCATATGAATATCCTACCATTGTTAGACGGAAAACTTCACAGTTAACTCACTACTAACGCGTTAAACATTGAACACAGACCAGCCACAAATGCATACGAATAACAAATGTAACCTAGTTTACACTATTTACATTATTCGGACTATTGTCCTCATCTTTGTCGCCATATTTATTACAACGTTTCGGCCGTTGTACCCTCCGACCTTCTTCAGGTGATTGGAATGTCGAACTGAATCCTTTATTTCGCTCACTGGGGTAGACTGTTCTAGTTCCACGTGGCATGTCTAAGAGATGTCAGTTATCAGTTATCTCCTGTTAATTCCCCACGCTAAGTCCTCCATCGCCTTAACAAGGGAGAGAATTCACACTTTGAGTCCTATCACTGGATCTAACTAACGCCTTTATCAACTGTGCCATGTTTTGAGGAGCCAAAGAACCTGGTTAAGGCGGTGGAGAATTTGAGGGGAATTAACCAGATAACGATAACTGACATCCATTAGACATGGCACGTGAAACTAGAACAGTCTACCCCAGTGAGCGAAATAAAAGGTTCAGTCCGACATTCCAACCACCTGAAGAAGACCGGACCGTACAATGGCCGAAACGTTGTAATAAATATGGGAACAAAGATGAGGACAATAGTCTGAATAATGTAAATCGTGTACATAATACCTCATCTCAGAACGTTACGGCTGTTGTACGCTCGGGCCTTCTTCAGGTAGTTGAAATATCGAACTGTATCCTTTATTTCGCTCACTGGGATAGACTGTTCTAGTTCCACGTGCCATGTTTTAATGGATGTTCTTTATCAGTTATCTCCTGTTAATTCCCCTCGCCAAGTTCTCCGCTGCCTTAACCGGGTATTGAATTCACACTCTTTGAAATTTTGTAATAAGTATGGCGACAAAGATGAGGACAATAGTCCGAATAATGTAAATAGTGTACATAATACCTCATCTCAAAACGTTTCGGC